AATTCATTGCCAGATGGAGGAAGCTGAGGCTGGATGTGGTCCTCTGTCCTGCCCTGGGGCCAGCCTTTAACCACAGCTATGCTGGGAAGCTCTTTGGTGTCTCCGGGTGCAGAGCTGGAGAGAGATACTTTGGTCTCTTGGACATTCCCCAAACCATGAACATTGCTTGGTTTCTCTCTGTGGGAGAAAGCAAAGGAGAGGTCACCTCAGTGGGTCTTCTCATTCCCCCACCTCATCTGAGCTGCTGGTGTTGGATTATTATGGGGCAGCCATTAGTGGCACATCCACCCCAGTTGTCATCAGTGAGTTTTCACTCTACTGTCCTGTAGGAAGCCCAAGAACTACTCTTGCAGCACAGAGTGGCAGTGAGGAGTAGCTATCAGGGGGGTGGTAGACTTTGGTACAGGGCCAGGCTCCTCTGAATGCAGCTGTCTCACATTTCCCAAGACTTTGCAAATAGCAGAAAGGCTCTTTGCATGTGACTAGCAGAAAAAAGGCCTTTTTTTGTAGCTTCCAGCAAACAGTCAGGGTCCTCCCTCTCTCTAGCAATGACCTTTTGGGGTCCAAAATCCCTGAGATGATGTTAACACAACCGGACATCAGGAATATCTTGAAAAGATAGCTGGGACTTTTCCCCGGGAAATGGGAGATAGAGATGCAGACTGTGAATCAGATCAAAGGCTCATGTCTGTCCCTCCCAGAGGAGATCTGATCTCCACATGACCAAGAGGTGAAGGTGTGGATCTCTCTCTGGTCTCAGCAGCCATGTGGCCCTCAAACCTCTCCGTCAAAAGTCCCTTTGAGGCAGCAGGGGTTTTTTCAGGGTCTCTTCAGGTCCAGCCACTCCAGACTACAATCCCTGCAACCCAAATTGTCATCTGAAAGTCGCTGCTGGCCCCGCACACTGAACTTTGCCATTTTGTATGCTCTATGTGATCTTTTCCAGCTGCGACCTCCTACACCAGTTTGTACAATGTGCTGAACTTCCCTGCCGGGGTGGTGCCTGTCAGCACGGTCACGAGAGCAGATGAAGAGGAACTGAAGCGTTACCAAGGACACTACAGGGACCCTTGGGATAGGAGGCTGAAAGAGGTCAGGAGGGAAACAGCTTAAATCACAGAAGAAGGTTGTGACTGGCACAGCGACACCTCTGGGACATTATCCCAGTGCTCATCTACATCTCCTAATGAGAGTGGGAGCTGGTTTAGTCATGCAGTTGGCATTCTCAGCGCTGCTACCCAGTGTGTGGTGCAGCAGCAAGGCTGGTGCCTGACAGCTTTCCCCTTGCTTGTCTTCCTCTGCCTCCTCTTCCCGTTATGTCCTGTGCCTCCCTGGGTGCTCCGGTGCTCTGACTCAGCACTGTCCTTAACTTTTGCAGGCTGTGCAAGGAGCTGTGGGGCTGCCAGTGGCTGTCCAGTGAGTGGCTCTGCCATGGAAAGGAGGAGCTGTGCCTTTGCTTCATGAAGGAGGTGGAGACACTTGCCCACAGCACAAAGAGAAGTGTGTGATTTCTGGGAACCAGCCTTCCCTGTGACGACTCTTCATTCCCTGCCCTTCACTCCAGCCACCTTCCACCTGATACAAAGCAGACAGCAAACCTAAGGCTCTGAACTAACATTTCAATAAACTGGCACAAAATGCTGCTTAAAAATAGCGAAAATCTCGCCCCTGTCTAAGTTGTGCTTCATTGCTAAACCGAGTTAAAAAAAAAAAAAAAAAAAAGGAATGAGAGTTAACTGCAACAAAGGAATCTCATGACAATTGCAAAACAATATCTGTTGTATGATGTGAGACCAAAGAGCTGTTTATTGCAATATTTTACTTCCAGCAGTGGGCAGGAACAGATGTTTGTGGGAGAGTATAACCTGGTAAGTGCAGGATTCCCTCTCTGGCTGTGCCTTTGGTTGGCTAAGGGAGTTTTTGGCAAAGACTTGCAGTCTCCCCATCAGTTTAAATAGCTGCCAGGAGAGCTCTCCTCCGCAAACCTGTTGGTCCCCTCCCTGAACTCATGTGCTCCCTTGATCTCCACATCATCCAGCAGTTTAATTGTTCAGGGAGTAGTGGAAAGCTTAATATTCTGTGAGAAATGGTGGCTGGTCTGTCTTCACTCCTGTTCCTCATCATTTCTTCCAGTTAAGCAAGGGGAAAAGATGTGGTTTTATTGCCTATAAACACTGCAGGGAAAACTGAGAAAGCATTTCTGTGTCTGCGCTTAGGCCATTCACACTGTTTGGAGTTTCCAGTAACACTGTGACGATTGTGTGCTGTTTCTTGACCCATCCTCGGCTCTCAAGGTGAATGAAGACACTGGAGGGGAAGGGGGGAGTGATGAAGGAGATGCTTGGAATGTTGAAATGTGTCTGTTGAAACAAATCGTGATCATTAGCAATGATCATCGGCAATGATTCCTTCTCCAAGCCTACAGGCACCAGGGCTGGAGGCAGTATTTTCCCAGCAGGAGGAGAGAGCCAAGGGGTGACAGTGCCCCTGTTGTTCATCTGCCCCCCTGGGGCAGGGCAGGGATGCTGTAGCCACCCAGCCACCTCCCATGGCCTCAAGGGGGTCTGAGTCACACAGTGAGTGTGACACAGTCACACAGCCTGACTCACCATCCTCTGATCCACACACAGCCAGGAGAAGATCCATGGCACAGCCCTGCTCCAAGGAGATGCCCTGACTCCGCAGGACTGCTGCTGGGGGCACCACCCACAGAGATCCTGGTGGATGACCATCACTATCTCAGGCCAGGAGCAAAGGGTTTTCAGCTGTCCTCTCACAGGGAGGATGGGAGCTCACCATTAAACAGGTAGCCTGCCCAGATAGTATTCCTGAATAGATCTGAGCATGCACAGACCTTGTTTTTCAAGGAAAGGACAGTGTCCTTTGCTTTTATATCCCTTCCTATCTTTGCAAGGCTGAAAGAGTCCTATTTCTAAAAGGAATTTCCCCACGCATACTCGCACTCTGCATTCCAGCCGCTCCTTGTGGATGGCTCTAGAAGGGATTTACTGTTCCTCCCACTCTCCTTTCTCCTGCCTCCAGCCAGTCACTAGATCTCAGGATCCTGGAGCACTTGCTCCAAGGACCCAGCACCCGAAGGGATCTGATCTCTCACTCTGATCCAGCAGGTGACTGAAGCAGAGTGAGTGGATGTTCTCAGCCCTGGTCTCAGCTCAGCTAAAGCTCTCCTGGCACTGAGGTGAATGAGGTGGAGAAGACACGTCCAGAAGAAGGTGGACAAGGTGTGAGGGATACAAGATACAAGTTTGGACCTGATCTGGGGGTCTGTTCAGGAATTTAAAGAGCAGGTAAGTGCCTTAGCTGGACAGAGAGCAAAGCACATTCCTAAGTAAAACTCAAGGGCCCTTCTCACGCCAGGTGGTCCGTGCTGTCAGCTGTCACTGCTGCATAAATGTGGGGGGAAAGTGGGAAGGGTGACGCTGAGAACAGTCTGGTGAGCTCAGGTGTCGAAACACAAGGAGAGAGATGCCTGTAGTAGGGCAAAACTTTAGGTTTTCAGGACAGTTCTTCCTCCAGACCTGCTCCACACTGGAGAAGGAATGTCAGCTCCTTCCCATACCCACCAGCACAGTGTTGCTGTGCTTCCAGCCCTTCTGCAGCTCTTCACCATGAGCTGCTGGCTCAGGCTCTGCAGCTCTTGCAGACCTTCACTGTGTGTTTGCAGAGTGCTTGTTCAGCTGCCTGGCACTGACCAAAGTCCAGGCTTTGGTCTGTCTCAGAGAATTATGTACAAATGCTGCTTGGGCCAAAGGAGCTTTGTTTTTACTAGTTTCTTTCATTTCCAGCACAATAGCCTGGCTGTGGTCTTTGCTTTGATCATTTTTCCTCCTCCCTCTTGATTCTGATAAAAATTTAAATCTGCCCTCCTCAACCCATATTTCATTCTATGACTAGATAAATAACCAAGCAAGGTTGAGAGATTGAATCATCAGGCAATCCAGCTTTTTTATTTGGCTATACTTTACTTTGCAGGATTTTTTGTTTATTTAACATGTCACATTGCTATATAGGCATAACATTAGGAGCAAATAAGGCTCTCTAGAAAACTGATACCAGCAGAATATGAGTTGTTAGAACAGGTCAGTTGCCCCCTTATAGTACCTGAAGCATGAATGTTTGGGTTTTTTTGTTTTTTCCTGCCACTATTCTCCTCCTTTTCACTCAAATCACCCTTCAGCTTCCTTGCTGCCCTGCTTGCCCATAGGAGAACAGTGAAAAACCCACCTTCCTGCTGTAAGCTTTGTGCCCAGACATGCAGCAGCTGGGAGCATCCCAGTCCCTCACCATTGGGGTGCTGAAGTTTCTGCTGTCACTCAGTGGGGACAGACCTGTGCAAGACACCAGACAAGATGGAAGAAGTAGAAATGCTCCTGGACTTCTGGTGAAGAACTTACAGCTCTCTACAGCACCTTTGCTTGTCTCTACCTTCCTTGCTGGAGAAGTTGTAAGTAGCATCCATACAACCCACTTGGCTTTGGAAGGGCTCAAGGAAAATAGTGCAATACTCAGAAAAGTGGGAAAGATGTAGGAATGATTAGGAGAGAAAGCAGCCCCTGCTGTCAGAGGTGGGACGGTTGGTATGGGAGGTCTCTCTTCCCATCCTATTGCAGTTTATTCAGGGAAAGCCAAGAGGGTTCTGGATGAAAAACATGGAAAAGCGTTGATAGAGACAAACCCTCACCTCTCAGCTAATGTTCTTGATTGTTGAAAGGTGCAGATTTGCTAGTGGCAAGTTTCTTACCAGCTGTTATGTTCTGTGAGTGCTGGTGGTGTCGGAATGGAATGGAATGGAGGAGAATCTTACGCTCCAAATAGATATTCCAGGCTGAAGTGAGTCAGAAACTGGAGAGTTCCCAGAAAACATTTATTCAGCCCTCTGAGCCAACTGCAACAAGTTCTCCAGAGGGGACCAGCCCAAATCACTATGATTTCAGTATTTTGTGAAATGTGTTTAAAATTCTTTCAGAGCAGCATAGTTAACATGCCTCGTTTTGTAAATCGTTTGGAGAAAGAGCACCAGAGTGTTTGGTTACAAATACATGAACACAAGATGCAGCTGTCAGGATTTATTCTTCATCATTGTAATAAAAATTGAGTCAACGCTGACTTAAAAATATTTATCACCAATTTAGAGGGAAGACAGCTTAGTTATAAACAGATTCTGTCAAAACCCAGTCTTCTTAAGACCTGAAGGTGTTGATGGAGCTTGATGACAGTAAGTCCATGTAGTTTTTGCTCTTGCAGGCAAAGATGGTGCAGCCTTTGCTGGGCATGGGAATGGTCTGATTTTGTCTGACTGTCTATTTTCTGGGACAGTCCACAGTGAAGAAGAGGTCATGGGTGCTACAATGAAATCCCAGACCTAGCTGCTATGAGTTGACTCTTCTTGTGAAAAGGGTCATGCATGGCTCTCATCTGAACTCCACTGATGGGTTTGACCTTGGACCTGGATCAATTCAAATGATAAAAACACTGTGGACAAGTGAATGATGACCTGCAAATCAGGTAGGTCTGTCTCCTCTGCTATGGACTTGAGATTTAACCTGGGACATCCCTTTGCTTCCTCGCTTTGGGTTCCCTTGGGTGTATGGCCTTGTGGTGGCAGGAGGAGCCATACCTCCAGTTCACAGAGGATGTGGAGATTTCCTATGACACATGGCAAAGAAAAGGGGTTTCCTCAGCAGCATTCAGCCATCTGGAAATGCAGCTATGCCTGCTGAAAATCTGCCCTTTGAAATGCCAAGTCAGCCCAGACACAGCTGTCTCTGTCTCTGTCTCTGTTAAACATTTTCTAAGTGTCTAAAGGGCAGGATCAGAGCACAGGTACCAATGAGCAAGTGGATGTGGGAGGCCAATGCCCTGACCCTTCCCAGCACAGGGAAAAAACCCTCCCACATCTGCTCAGCCCATCACAGAGGTTCTGGTGCTGTCACACAGGCAGAGAGCCCACCTCTGTCCCAGGAAGGGCTTGTGTGGATTCCCGGAGGCTGGAGGGGGTTCGGTGCTGTCACATGCTGGCCCTGCTCATGTGCACCTTCCAGAGGCACCCGCTGCAGCCAGCACCGTGGAGCAGGAGCTGGAGGGGCTGCAGGCATGTCCCCATGCAGTGCCACAGCTGGGGAAACTTCCTCCAAGGAAGGTGCCACTGGAAAGGATGCAGTAAAAGGCTGGCTTAATTTGTTACCCCGCAGCAAACTCCCGTCAGCTCCAGACTGCTTCTGCAAGGACGCCAGAGCCAATTTTTTATTCAGAGTCCATAAATTTCCCTAGTTAAGAACTAAGCTAAGAACATTCCATACTGACACAAATTGTGACAACAACAGTGAACTCTTATAACTGCTAAGAACAAACATGACAATGAAAAATTGAGCGCTAGAGGACTACCTAGCCCTGAAGGGAGAGGGCTTTTAAGCCTCCTTCCCATATCCAGTTCCACACTCTGCTGGAACCTTGCAAATTTTTGTGATGCACAATCCATAGCTGCCCAAATACTTTTTCCAAAGGGGACCCCATAGGGAGGACCCACTATTCAAAAACAACAGGGAAGACTGCAGACAGACCATGGCTGATGTTGGCTGGGTTGTCGCCTTCAGCTCAGTGTGTGGCTCTTGGTGCTTGTAGTGAAAGTCATCTCTGCTGGAAAGATGTCAGACACCAGCTATTCCAGTGTCTGGTGGAAATAGTTTGCTTCTGGCCTGCAAGCCTGTGGGATTTTCCACTCCTAAAAACAATACCAGTGTGCTTTGTCATGGGGTGGAACGGCCTCTCCCGGTGCACGCAGACATCACGGCAACGCTGAGCACAGACCTCCTGCAACAGCCTCTGCCCACCGTGGGAGCAGCGTGAGGGATTTGGTGAGCTGAGGGTACCCCACAGCTGTGCATCCCCTCAGCTTACATTCCCCAGCCCTGTGCAAGGAAGTCTTGTAGTTTCAAGCTGTTTTTTCCCCTTTTCCCATTGTCCTCTCAGGCTACACAGGAAACAGGGGAATGGCTATTTCCTTCTTTCTTTTGTTCAGTTCATCTCATAGCCCTTCCTTCCCAGTGGAGAGCCTCCCACAGTCCAGAAAGCCCCTATAAACCCAACACCCCAAAGTTCACTGACCAAACTTCACCTTTTCCATTTCCTGGTTAATCATTCTCCCTTTCACGCTCCACAGACAGCAGCTTTGCAGGGGTCAGATTCAAACTGAACCATTTGAACTATTTGCTGACCCGAGACAGCGGTGCTTGGAGGAGGGACCGGTCTGGAGAGGCAGGAAAGGTCTCCTGTTCCTGCCTTGCTTTTCTTTCTCACTCCATCCCTGGGGACTCAAAAGCCACATCATGATCCAGCATCAGCTGAGACAGCTCCTGCCAGAGAGGAAGGTGGATACTTCTGCTGCCCTCACGCTGCTTGGCGGGTCAGTGGCAGCTGTGGTGGTCTGGAAATGGCTGGGCAAAAAGATGATCCAGAAGAAAATGGAAGAAGCACGGAAAACCCGGGATGAGGGTCTGAAGAAAATGGCAAAGGCTGTCCAGCAGTTCAGGGAGCAGGTAACCCGTCCTCCTGCGGGGTCTGAGTCCCAGCGGGGTGTCTGCTGATGTTGTCCTTCAGCTCCTCCTGCCAGCTCATGCCCCCATAGCTTTTATAACAAGGAGATGTGCCAGCAGCCCCCAACAAGAGGAAAAAGGAGAGAGGGAGAAAGGGAGATCACTACTCTCCTCAAGCTGGATGCAATGTGGTGGGACTCTACAGTCTGTAGACTCCCACCTCATCTCATCCAGCCTGAGGGGGATGTGAATCACTCACTAAGAAGAGGGTTTGGAGAACACATATTGATGAAGCACTGGACCTTCACTGATCCAAAACTCAGTTCTTTCAAAATCTGGAAATGTTTCTTGCCTCTATGGTTAGAAGTAAGAAAGCTTTTGCCTCTTCTTAACTCTACACATCTGTCCATATCCCTATATCTTTGTCCCTAAAACCTGTTTCCTGGATGGCTTTTGAAGAACCTTCAAAAGAGCTTTCATTAGCATTCCCAGCAAGTGGGACCCCCCAGCCTATCAGGCTGCCCAGAAGATGCCTGCTCTAACTTAACACTAATGAAGATAGGGCATTCAGTATCCCCTGGGAGCAACCAGGACATGACATGGGGATGAATGAGGTAGGTAGGCATCTAACCAGCATGGAAGTAGCCCTGAATTCCTACTGTAACACTCATTTCTAAACACCTTTCTGTTCCATTTGCTTTGAATATGTACTGGATAAACCAGCTCATATTTTCACAGGTAACATACCTGGAGATAATGCATACCAGGTACAATTGACACATACCTCCAAAACCTCTTTTCTTAAAATATATATAAATATATATATGATTCTATAAAAAAACTTTTTTAATAGCTGGTGGCACTGAGAACTGCCAGTCTTCTTTATCTGGGTAGGCCTTACCCACCTGTGAGTCCCTGATGACCTCTTTTGAACTATTAGATGTTTGCCCTCAGCCCAGGCTGTCCTGCACTGCCTGTACCCGTTCTGAGGGATGAAGGGACAGCCTGAGGTTTGTGTGCAAGGACTTTGGTACCTTCTGCCCTAGCAGTGTTTGCTCAGCTGAGGCTACCTCTTGGACAGTGGGTAAATCCCACGGTGCCAGGGTGAAGGCATTGCCATGTCCTCTGCTGCAGAGGATGGACAAAGCTCTTCTCCACCTTGAGAGACAGCTGGGCTCCTGGGTTTGCATCCTGTTTGTTTGTGACATTCCAAACCCAGCATGAAACACTCGGCAGCTCAAGGCCTGAACCCTCACATGCAGGGTCTGCCTTTCCAGCAAGCTCTGTTGATAATGTTGGCAAAATTCAAGAGACTTATCCCCTCTGAGCCAAAGTGTAACAGGAACTCTTGCCCTGGATCCCCTTCATCTTCCCCTTGCAGGTCCCCAGTGTCCAGACAGATGCCATCATTTCCCTGCCTCTGCTGGAACTCACTGAAAGACTCCAGGAAGGGTCTCTGTCTCCCAAGACTGTCCTCTACACCTACTTAGAGAAGGTGAGTGTCCATCCACAGTGAGATGGACAAATCACATCACTTACATTCTCCATACGGTGGTCAGTGAGCTGATGGCCGAGAGGATTGTTGGAGCTGGTGATTATGACAAGTCTTTAATATAACTGATGTCAGGAGAAAGATATGCTCTTTCTCTGGATCAGATCCATCACTGGCCAGTAATTTGAGATGGCTCAAGCTGGGATGCCCTGGGGAGGGGTTTACCATTCATGCCAAGCCCTTGTTTTGTTGAGGGAGGTAGCTACTGAATGCAGCTGATCTTAACTAACACCTCTTCTTCCACGTGTCCAACAAAGGCTCTGGAAGTAAACCAGCAGACAAATTGCTTGCGACATTTCATCCCAGAGTGTGAGGAGCAGCTCCAGGAAATACAACGGCAGAAGGAGAAAGGGCTGCTCTATGGCATCCCTGTCAGCATCAAGGATCACATCGGCCACAAGGTTCTTCCCTTTGTGCCTGTGAAGTGTCCCACCATGAGCTGGGCTGGGTGGTGGAGTGGTGGGACATGGAGAATGGGGTAGGCACCACAGGAAACATGGCTGTGCCTGAGGCTGTGGCCCCACATCTTGTTGCAGCTGCAACCCTGGCAGTTAAAAACCTTGCTGTGGTCTAACCCCAGCAGGCACTCGCTCACTCACCCTCCCCCAGAGGCGGGATGGGGGAGGGAGAATAGAAAGGGTGAAAATGAGAAAATTTGTGGGTTGAGGTAAAGACAGTTTAATAGGTAAAGCTGTGCACACAAGCAAAGCAAAACAAGCAATTCATTCACTGCTTCCCGTGTTCAGGCAGGTGTTCAGCCATCCCCAGGAGAGCAGGGGCTCCATCATGCGTAACGGAGGCTGGGGAAGACAAACACCATCACTCTCAACACCCCCCTTCCTTCTTCTCCCCCCAGCTTTATATGCTGAGCATGGTGCCATATGGCATGGAATGTCCCTCTGGTCAGTTGGGATCAGCTGTCCTGCCTGTGGCCTCTCCCAGCTTCTTGTGCACCTCCAGCCCCCTCGACTGGCGAGGCAGCACCAGAAGCAGAAAAGGCCTTGGCTCCATGTAAGCCCTGCTCAGCAGTAACTACAACATCTCTGTGTCACCAGCACTGTTCACAGCACAAAATCCAAAACACAGCCCACTACTAGCTACTGTAAAGAAAATAAACTACCCCAGCCAAAACCAGTGCAAACCTCTGTCAGCAGGAAAAAATCATGGGGTTAATAGTTATAGACTCAAATGATTTCTCCTCTGATACATGACACAGTACAGGCTACACTAAAGTTGAGGGCTCTAAGCCCAAAGCAAGCCCCAAATACCATGGCTAACTGAAGAAAGCACTCAAACTGTGTTCATCTGGGATGAATATTCCCTCCCTGAACATCCGCTGGTGGCTTCACTTGGACAGCAGGACACTGGGTTTGATCCTGAGCTAGTGCACCTATGGAGTTGCATTTGGGTCAGGGCAGAAAAGGAGCATGAAAAAGAGCAAGGACAGCTTTGGGAGAAGCTTTAACCCTATGAATGCTTGGCAGCCCTCTGCCAAGGACGGAAGGAGAGGGAGTCCTTGGCTCTTCGTGCAAGGACTCATGAGGGAGTGGGTTAGTATCAAACACACAACTCCTGAAGGGAATACCAGATCATCCTTCCAAAAGGGCAAGGGAACTGTGCTGACCATGTCCCTTGTCATTTCTGCTCTGTGCAGGGGCATCTGACAACTTGTGGGCTTGTACAGCACCTGGATACTCTGATGAAGGAGGACAGCGTCCTGGTCAAAGTTCTGAAGAGACAAGGGGCCATCCCATTTGCAATGACCAACGTGCCACAATCCCTCTTCAGGTGACATACATCATTAGAAATCTTCCTCTGGTTGTGCTTCTGAAGGTAAAATCTGGCCTGCAGGTCCCAGGACAGGCTTCTCCCTGTCTCCTGAGATGATGCCTGGAGAGCCTCTCTTCCATTAGCTGACAACGATCTCAACTGAAAGAGCTTTTAGATAAGATTAAGAGGGAAAAAACCTCCCATGAGTTAAAAGAAATCAAGTGCACGTGTGCCTGGGAAGGAGAGCAGAGACTCGTGGGAATAAGCCATGTCCTGAGGGATTTACGGGATGGAAGGTTGGGATTGGCTGTGCCACACAGGCTCACTGCAAGGGAAAGCAAACAAACCCAAGGCATTTGGCTGTTCCTGACAGCCTGCTTGCTGGTTTTCTTCTCCCCCAGCTATGACTGCAGCAATCCCATCTTCGGCCAGACCTTGAATCCCCTCAACCACCAGAAGAGCCCCGGGGGCTCCTCGGGAGGGGAGGGAGCTCTGATCGCAGGGGGAGGCTCCATCCTGGGCATCGGCTCGGACATCGGGGGCAGCATCCGCCTGCCCTCCAGCTTCTGTGGGCTGTGTGGGCTCAAACCCACAGCAGAGAGGCTCAGGTGGGTGCTGGGGTCTGCCCTTCCAACCCTGCTAGTTGTCAAACTCAGCCGAAGGGGAAAGGGACTCAGCAAGCACTTGGAAGAAATAGAGAGGATGGTTCTTAAAAGAGTGGCTTTCTTTGCTCAAAACCTCTCCCAGCAGACAGCATGGTTAGATTTTGTGGGAAATTGATATGTTTTCATTGTAAATCTAGCCCGGAGATAAAAGTAAAAGGAGGTTAAAGTGGTTGAAGAATGCCAAGATGGGACATTTTTGGTTAAACCAAAACAAAGATTTGTTGGGATTTCAGTTTGAGGGGTTTTTTTTTTCCTTTGGGCCAAAATTTCTTGTTTCACATAAATCAAATACTTGAAATGGTTTACTCCTCGTTCTGGTCCTGAACTGAAGGCCCCGTTACGCTATTCAAGTGTATTGGGAATATCTCCCAATTACTGAAATGACAATATACTTCTTTCTTTTTTTCCAAAAGCCTGTCTGGAGTGACTGGCCCTGTCAATGGGATCCTGGCAGGTACAAGAATTTTTAATTGCTTTTCTCTGTATCCTGTGAAAAGCCCCATGTCCTCCTCTAGGCCAGAGGAAAACCCGAGACAACCAAGATCTCTCCGGAGTCCATCTGAAACATCCCACCTCATTGCCCGCCCACCCCTCGCAGCAGCGTGGCTGTGCAGAGGGGTGGATCAGATGGTTTGGCACATCCATCTGCTTTAATGTGGGTGTTTGCTCCTGTCCCATTCCAGTTCCTTGTGCTGTGGGGCCGATGGCGAGGGACGTGGACAGCCTGGCCCTGTGCATGAGGGCTCTGCTCTGCCAGGAGATGTTCCGGCTGGACCCCACCGTGCCTCCCATACCCTTCAACAGGGAGGTGAGTCCTTAACTCAGCAAGGCCTGGTTCCTTCCAGGGTGCTGCACAGCTTCTTTCAGGGTCCAGTTGTCCTTACAGTACCGGTTCCCAGTAACATAGCTTTCTTTGAGGGCACAAATCATAATTATGAGGGGGAAAAAATAGGCTTATCGGTAGTTTTCCTGTCTGCCTCCTTAGGGGGCATGTAGCTTATCAGATTGAGAATCCAAAAAAGAGTGGAGGAGGAAGGCAAAGAGCTGAAGGAATAAACAGCTGAAGATTTTTAGGGGAAGATGAAACAGTATCAGAAACTGCTGCAGCAAATAACTGGGGCATTTAGTTTCCCTCCGCTGTAGGACCAACTTCAGAAGGTTTTTTCACCTCTGTCCTTTGCAGCAGTGATTGAATCTCCTGGTGTAGAGAGGCTGTGCTCTCTCTGAAGGCTGAGATGAAGGAGGCTGGAGAGAAAGGCCAGGGCAGACATTTGGAAAGGGGAATGTATGGAAACTGTAAGCAGCAAACCAGAAAAATTGTTACTCCCTAACACCTGGAGCTTTTGCTCCCTTCTGCAGTGGGTGTCAGCATGGGGGCAGATCTACCCCCAGCAGGGTGGGTGTCATAAGTGAGTGGTTTAGGTCACTTAAAGAGTCACTGTCAAAGGCATTGGGAAAAGCAGGTTTCAATGTAAATTTGCAAAAAGGGTGACAGATTTTGATGGCAGGGTTCACTCTGTTACTTATTATATAGATGAAGCATACAAAGGAAAATAAGCTTGGAGTCACTTCAGAATCATTTGCATAGAGACTCTCGATAAGAGTCTGGGTGTGGCTGGATTCAATCTTAGTCCCAGATCTGGCCAATGGCTTCCATGCAAAGGATCTTCTCAGCCATTCCACTGGGAACAGGACTGCTAAACTGGTGTCTCTTTGCTCCAGGTGTACTGCAGCTCCACTCCCCTGCGGGTCGGGTACTATGACACCGATGGTTACTTCCCGCTGCCCCCCTGCATGCGGCGGGCGGTGAAGGAAACCAGGAGTGCTCTGCAGGCAGCTGGGCACCAGGTGAGCACATCCACCCAAAGCACCCTGTGCCCTTCTCCCCAGGGCGTCCCCAGCTTCCCTCTTCACTGAGGAAATCACCCTTCAGAAAAAGAAAAAAAGGCAAAAAAAGCAACAGGTCCCAAATGCAGCAGTGGGGATAAATGACCTACCAGAGTTATGAGATGAGGTTACCGCAGCCACACACCTGCCCAGGGGGGAACAGCACGAGCAATTAGCAAACCTGTGCCCAGGAGGGTGTAACGAATCCATCTCTGCAGGACAGCTCTGGCAGTTGTTTTTCTCCTTCCTCTCCAATGCCCATGGAGATCTCTGTCTGTCCTGAACCACTGAGGGGAAAAGGCCATGGGGCATGGCAGGGGAAATACATTTCCCTCCATCTAGATCTACCTGTGGAAATGAGTTAGTGTTGTTCTTCATAACAAAGTGAGTCCATGTCTGAGAGATGTCAATTCTGCTGGGACAGGCTGGAAACTGCTGCAGTTTCTGGTTCAGTGACTGCTTAGATGGAGAAATAAATAGCTCTGGAGAGAGCTCAGGGCTGAGCATGGCTGTCAGGGAGGAATAATCCCATGGGAAAATGCCTGAGCTGGAAAAGGGTTGAACTGGGACTTCTGCTGGCATGTGGAGCCCAGGAAGGTGCTGCTCTGCCTTTGAGGTATATTCACAGTCAGGCTTTGGAAACTACCCACATCCCCAGGCTGCCACCTAATCTTGTGTTTTGGTGCAGTTGGTGCCCTTTTCTCCACCTCGGATCCCCTATGTCATGACTGAACTGTTTATGAAGACGTTTTTTGGTGATGGAGGTCGTGCTTGGTTGGATGTGTTGTAAGTAGGAGCCCTCTGGAAGCTGCAAACACCTCCATGCCCACGCCACGAGCACGACACAGGCAAAACCAGCCCATCTCTCCCACCCCAAATAGCCAACACTCAGGTCTCTGAGGAAAGGCAAACAGCTTCTCTGGCATGATCCCCCCCTTCTTGTCATCTCTCAGCACAGGAGATATCATAGACCCAAGCTTGAAACCACAGGTGAATTCCTGCAAGATCCCAAGGCTGGTGAAGAAGATGCTGGCTCTGCTTCTTAAACCTCTGGTGAGTCCCCGTCCCTTGGGATGGGATTGGGGGATTTCCCAAAGTGGCATAAGTTACTGCACCCCTATGTCACGTCCCTAAGGAACCTCTTGCCTTTCCAGTTTCCCCGCCTGGCTGACTATCTGAATGCCATGAGTGGAATGAGGTAAGACGGCATCGTCCCCAGGGATATCCATGAAAAGGGGGCAACACCTTCTCCTCTGAGTGTCCATAGTTGGGGTGGACTGGATTCACAACAGGCTCTGACCTGCTCTCTGCAGGGGTTGTCCTTCTACCCTGGACATGGTTTCAGCCTTTAGGAATACAGCTCCCTAGTGCTGCACTGCCCTTAGTGATACCCTGGCAGGACTGAGGGACTTGGGTGGATAAGGTCATACAGGAAGCCTGTGGAAGAGAACGAGTGCTAAATCCAGAGTATTCATCAAAGAAACCTTCTCTCCAGCACATCCAGACATTTGCTACTTAATTGCTTGGGCAGATGCCAAAGGAAACTTTAGACTGTGAAAGCTATATTGTTTTAAATAACTGCTAAAATCACCAGGGCTTATCAACCCAGAGGCCCATTTAAGCAGTTCCTCTTCCTCTTAAAGATGTTGCTATGATTCCCACTTGCAGGTCAGTGAAGGAGATGTGGAATCATCACCATCAAATACAGGTATGTTTTGAAGACTTTCCTCTCTGGCATCATGCTACAAGTTGAGGCTTTATGGCAAGTGCCAGGCTGGAGAGTCATCGGTTTGAAATGGGGTTGTGCAGGAGAGGAGGTGCTGGGGAGGAGACAGGATGGACGGAAAGGTACAAAAGAGAGACAGGAGTGGGTAAATGAGCCTTTGGGTCAGCCCAGATGGGACTTTATCAGTTGCCCACAAGGCTCTTGCACAAACATCCATGTTCAACAGTCCCAGCACAACAAAGGCTGTCTTGGGAGAGGGAGTGGCTAAAGAGGGACCTTTCCAATTCCTGGCCACATGCTGTGGAGGCAAACATGCATTCCTCTGCCTCTTCCCTCGAGCACTGCTGAGTGCTGCTGCCTCCTCAGTTGTGCCAGAGCCTGGTCCCTACCCTGAAAAAGCCGAGATGCTCCAGGCACGGGCATGGGCTCCATGTCATCTCCTTTCTCCTCTCCAAGGCGTACCGCTCCGAGTTCATCAGCCGGTGGAAGGAACTCCATCTGGACGTTGTGCTGTGCCCTGTCCTGGGGCCTGCCTTCACTACGGGATACCCCGGGAAACTCCTCAGTAAGTGAGTCTGCGACCTTCCCAGGAGGGACCCCAGTGGCTGAGACTGGAGAGAAATGTCCTGTACTGGGGAGCTTCACCACCTACCTAAGCATTTTATGGGAATTAGGAAGGAAAAGTAACGACCATAAGGCTATCTGAGCAGGTGGAGACAGACATATAGCTCTCAGGGGCCTCAGTGAACATGGAATGTGTAGGTTTGAAACAAGACAGGAGGCTGTGACTGGCTGGATTCTCTCTTCTGCTGCTCTCAGCTGCCATCTCCTCCACGATGCTGTACAACATCTTGAACTTCCCTGCTGGGGTTGTACCCGTCAGCACAGTGACAGAAGCGGATGAGGAAGAGCTGAAGCTTTACCAAGGATGCTGTGATGACCCCTGGGACAGGAAGCTGAAACAGGTACAGAAAATGGTGGAGCAGACTGACAATGGACATTCAAGTAATAGTTTCACTCAAACAGCAGGGCTTAAACCACAGCCTCCCCACCTCTGGGATGAGCTACGTGCCTAAACCAAGTTTCCAAAAGTTGCTGGAGGTCCGAGCCCCCCGGGTAACCCCTCACTGCTTGTGTACCCACTGCAGGCTGTGTCAGGAGCCGTGGGGATGCCCGTGGCCGTGCAGTGCGTGGCCTTGCCGTGGCAGGAGGAGCTGTGCCTGCGGTTCATGAAGGAGGTGGAGACCCTCAGCCGTGAGAAGAGAGTGGCATAACCCCCGTGGTCCCCTCAGGGCCCAAGGGACAGCGCTGCACGACTGCCATTGGCGGTGCAGAGACTACAAAGAGGAGGGAAGGAGGAAGGAAACACCGTTTCCTGACCTCTCTCCTTGCCAACAAGCACGGATCCTGTAAGGAACCAGGATGCCATGCACATAGCAGGACTGGCTTCAGCTGGGTTCAGATGATGATAAATCTATGCACTGCACCCTCCTGCAAGGATGGACATGGGTGAGTTTCCACCCCTTCACCCCCATTCCCATCAGTGCTGCCCCTTGCAGAAGCAGGGTGGTGCTGAGAGAAAAGGATTACAAAAGCTCAATAGTACTTACTTGTTGGCACTGGAGTAACTTCATATGGGCTGCCATGTGAGGAATACAGCCATGTCAACCCTCCCCATCACTGTATTTTGCTCACAAAAATAAAAATGTGGCTATTAAGCAACTCTTATCATAAACTCCAGTAATCCTTCACTGATGGCTATAATTCTGTAACTAGTAACTATTCAAAATCATACAAACACCTGCCCCCTGAACATTAAATGGCATCTTGCATACGAGCATTCACACTTTCCCCCAGCTTTCCTGCAGCTTTCCTGTCTGTGAAGGATAGCAACAGTCACTGGCCTTTCCACAGCACCAAATTTCCAGCATCACAAACATATTTTCAGTCTCGAAGGAGGGGCACCCTTAGGAACGTCTGATTTCAGTACCTCAGGCTGCTCTTTCTGAAGGCAGGAGATAAGCAGAGACAGATGCAACTCATTTATGCAGATGGTGAGATCTGGGACAAAGACTGAGATCCCCAGATGGTGTCTGTTAACCCAAACCTGCTCATGTAGGATCAAAGCAATCAGACAGGAGGGAGAGAGCAGCACCCACACAGGGCCATTTATCCTGCCCCACACAGATGGATAAATCGCTCCCTCTGATAAGACCTTTCTTTCCTAGATTAAACACCTCAGTCTCAAACAGATAAAACATTCAGGAGACTTCACAGCAGGTCTTCCTCATTTATTTTCTATGTCTGCAGTAAAAAAGCAGACTTCCCTTGGGACATTTTTAAAAAGAAAAATAAAGAGAAAGCAGTTGTACTTTCCCTGGAAATTTGGGGTATTTCCTGAGAGCAAACAGACACAGCCTGCTGCCCCTTCTACATCCGATGTAATTTGCAGAAATACATAGGTCCAAAGTTGGCTGTGAGGTGAGGCAGGACAAGCTCCCCCAGCCGGCAACCTGAGAAGAAGGAAAACGTGTCCTGGAAGAGCGTCCGAAAGCGGCTCAAGTCCTCGACGCGGACACTGATGTTAAACTGGGTCTCCGCAATTTCTACCGCCCTCTCCACCACACACTCGTTCTGCAGCGGGGAGAGGGAGCACGTGGAGTACACCACGTCTCCTCCTGGCTTGGTAGCGAGGATCCCAGCCCTGCAAGCAAGATGAACACACGCGTCATCACAGAGAAGGAAGAGTGTGTGGAACAAGCATCCCCACCCACCAAAACTGGGAAGCCATCAGGTAACTCATAGGAAGTGGCAGATGAATCTTGAACTCCACGGACTCAGCAGTCTGTGTCACTGCAACGTGAGGACTGTTTTAGGCCAGGGCAACGAGTCAACTGGATGCTTAGATTGATAATGAATTTAACATGGGAGAGATGCTACAGGAGAGCAGCTGGAAAGTATAACCCTGCAGTCGTGTCCAAGGGAATGGGATAAGAGCATGTAGAGGGGAAGAGACTCTTGCAAGTCTCTCTAATCTGTTTCCATGTTGTCACAGCACAGTGAGACCACCCAGCCTTCCCAGCAAAAATGGGGTGATGAAGCACCCCATGTGCTGGGAGATGTGGGCACTCAGGAATCCTCCAGGGCTGATCAGCAGGATCTGGTAGATCATCGCCCAAAAGGACAACACTATACCTATCATGTTCCTTAGACCCTTATTCACAGGCAGGACCTGTGATCTGACCAAGAACATTTGCACCTTCTTACACGTATATTGCACTTTGATGTGTTCCAACTGTTGCTCTTCCAGAAAACTACACGTGGTTTCCAAATTTCCCAGTTGGGGACAAAGCAAAAAAGAGGTTTCAGTGCTGGCCACAGAGAGCTGCCACTGTAACGCAAACAGCACGAGGACACAGCATCAAGCTCACTCACATCAGCAGCTGCAGCTGCAGCATGGGCAGCATCTGACGCTCCTTGGTTCGCATCTTGTGGAAGATGTTGTTGTGCTCCTCCATGGCAGAGTGCCTGTCCGTCGTGCAGGGCACATCCACCAGCACCTGAAGCAGCAGAGGTCCCTGTCAGTCCCGTGCTTAGGTCAAGTACCCTTGTGCAGCTGCCCCATGCCCACCTCCTCCACCCTCACCACGCACAGGCAGCTCCTGGAGCCTGAGCGCGGCTGCGCGCCACACTGAACTGTGATCATCTGGCTGCTCTGGCATCTGGGGAACGTGCAAACAGACCCAGAGATGGTGAAAAACATCCCACACTCACACGTGTCCTCATTTAATGTTCCTCCTCTGGGTGTCTGCCTGGAAGACGTCACCGCAGCGCACACACTGCTCCTACAGCGACGCCTCCCAGAGAACCAAACCCAGCGCCTGAGGCTGGACATGGCTGAGAAAACAGAGTTATCTAATCTTTACACTTAACCCCTTCCAGGTGATGGACAAGAATAGGACTTCTACGTGGTATTACAGAGGCAAATAAAGGTACAACTCTGGATGCACATATGCACCAGATCCTGCAGGAAGGGATAGCTGGAGGAAATATTACTCCTTATGTGTCTTAGTCCTCTCTTTCTCTGCATTTAAGATTGTGGAAAACTACACAGTTATACTGTAGAATAAGCTGCTGCCTTCCTCAGAAAGAGGGTTTATCTTCAGCAGTTCCCAATAACCTACCTTATGAAAAGTGCCACCTTCCATGTTCTGCCAGTCCCTTCCATCGTAGGACGTGACACTCACAGTTTCCCTGACTTCTTTGAGAACATAGTTATGAAGGATCTGGTGCAGCCTCTTTGTCCTGGAAATGGAGACATCGTTGGCTGCCAGATGCCCTGCAGGGACACAACAGGAACACTGGGAATTGCAAAAACACATCTGATTCCCAACTCTTATAGTCAGAAATTATTAACGGTCAGACGTTAATGAGCACAGCACACTCTTCCAGCCCTGTTTAAGGATGGGGAACAAGGGAAAACCCACCTCCACTTACACAAAGCCCAGTCTGCAGGAGAGCCAGAGTCTTGCCACCTGGAGCAGCACAGAGGTCAAGGACGAGGTCATCCTGCTGCACATCGAGCGCAAGGACGGGCAGGAGAGATGCTGCATCCATGAGATAATAACCAAGGAGCCCCAGAGTGTCTGGCCTGGAAATCACCAGTGTGTGTAACACAGGTAAACGTGCAAGGGGAAAAGAAAAGAGCAAATGGAAGTGAGGACTGGGACGTAGGAAAGCAGCTCCCAAGGCTGCCAGCGACAGCGGGTGGTCTGTCCAGGGTATCTCACCGTGCCGGGTGAAAGCGCGTGATGTCACCCCTGGGGAAGGTGTAACACTTGATTTTGGGGCTGATGGAGGCACGAAACGGTGGCGATGTCTCTGCCTTTGTCATCGCCTCTGCCTGTATTACAGTCCCACCCTCCTGGGAGCCTCTCACTGCTTCCCTCGCAGCTGCATCCTGCTGTGACTGCTGGGCCTTTTGGAGGGCTTCAGAAATGAAATCAGTGGCATTCAGCAGCTCCAGCTCCTGGGTGACATGGTCAAGTTCAGAGAAGTTGTTGAGGAGGGCGCCGTACTTCTGCTCACAGAGCAGGCCGGCACGGACGGAGGGCCACAGCTCCCCCAGGTGCAGGCTGTAGCTCGAGTCAAAGTGGTGCAGGGCCAGTCTTGTGGACGGGATGCGGGGGGCCGTGGTAGCCTTGGGGAGAAAAATACCAGAGACGTTAAAAGACAAAATAGCTCGACATCCCAGTACCCCCACCCAGCCTCCACGTTTTTCTGGGAGAATCCAGCACCGGATTCTGTGCTGCTAGAAGTCCATGGGGCCTTTCCATTGTCCCTGAAAGCAGCAGGGACAGGTGAACCCCTACATCCGTGGGCTGGTGGTCCCCTGGGGAGGGTTCAGGAGCGCAAATGTGACAGGACTCGAGGAAAAGGCATAAAGCTGATTCAGGAGAGGTTCAGGTTAGGTATCAGGAGAAAGTGTTTCGTCCAGTGGGTGATTTAGCAGTGGAACACGTTCCCCAGAGAAGTGACCAAGCCTTTCCGAGTTCAAGAAGCGTTCGGACAAAGCGCTCAGGCACTCGGTGTGATTCCTGGGGAGTCCTGCGCAGGGCCGCGAGTTGGACTGGACGAGATCCTGATGGGTCCCTTCCAACTCGGCACATTCCATGATTCCACGGATGGCCGAGCGGGGCTGGGGGGCACGCGGGGCGAGAAGGGCCGCGCACTGAGCAGCGGAACGAGGGCGAGGCGAGAGGGGTGAAGTGGGGAGGTCAGAGGGGTGCGTGGGGTGCAAAAGGGTGAGCGGGGCGGGGGGAGAAGCGGGTGCAAGCAGCGCGGTTGGGGGTGCGGTTGCGCCGGGAAGGGATTCCCCCCCTCCCGGCCTCGCTCACCCACTTCTCCTTGTGCCGGTGCCGGTGCCGGCGCTGCCCCGCTCCCTGCCCCGCTCCCTGCACCGCTCCCAGCACCGCTCCCGGTCCCCGGCGCAGCAGCGGGACCGCCGCCCGCCCTCCCAGCGCCGCCATCGCTCCCATCGCTCCCCGACGGGGGAGCCTTCCGGGGCGGGACCCGGGAAGTGCTCACGGCGAAGAGGGAAGGGATGGGGCTCTGGGAAACCGGGTCCGGTGGCAGCGGGCTGTACCTAAAGGATCG